CGGATCCGGCAGGCGGGGCTGCCGGCCAATCGGACGGTCCCGGTGGGCAGTGACGTGGAGTTTGAGTGTAAGGTTTTCAGCGACCCGCAGCCGCACATCCAGTGGCTGAAGCACATCAAGGTCAACGGGAGCCGCGTCGGCCCCGACGGTATGCCCTACGTCCGAGTCCTCAAGGTACGAACTCACGCCACCGAAAATTTTTTTTTTTTCGCATTGTATTTTTACTACGATGACAGTTTTAAAGTACAGTTTGTTATTGTTGAAAAAAAAAACAAATCAAAAATTTCTCAATGTGTTGTTTTGCTTATGGTATCGCAATATGTGTCGTATTGTTCCGCCCGTATCGCGATGCGTATCGTATCGCGATACGTATCATATCGTATCGCCAGATTGTTGACGATACGCAGTCTGAGTTTATGTGGAGTAGGTTTGATTTGAAAAAGTACTTCGTTTGTATTTAGTTACTCAGTTAGTTATTGGTTTGTTAGTTACTAGTTAGTTTGTTAATTACTAGTTTTTTAGTTGTTAGTTTGTTAGTCAGTTAGTTAGGTTGTTTGTTATTAGTTAGTTAGTTCGTTAGTAGTTAGGTAGTCAGTTACTTAGGTTGTTAGCTACTAGTTTGTTAGTTACAAGTTAGTTGGTAGTTACTTACTTAGTTAGTTACTTAGATAGTTATTGGTTATTTAATTAGTAGTTAGCTACTACAGTAGTTACTAGTTAGTCAGTTACTCAGTCAGTTACCTAGTTTGTTAATTACTACTTAGTCAGTTAGTTTCAGTCAGTTAGCTTGTTAGTTAATAGTTTAGTAAGTTAGTTACTAGTTTGTTAGTTACTAGTGAGCTACTTCCTAGTTAGTTAGTTAATAGTTAGATAGTCAGGTACTTAGTAACTAGTTTGTTACTAGTTAGTGAGTTACTTTGTTAGTTAGTTACTTAGTTAGTCAGTTACTAGTTAGTCAGTTACTGGTTTGCTAGTTATTAGTTTGTTAATTACTAGTTAGTCAATTACTTAGTTAGCCAGTTAGTTTGTTAGTTACTAGTTTAGGTAGTTAGTTAGTTAGCTACTAGTTAGTAAATAGCTAGTTTGTTAGGTAATTAGTTAGTCAGTTATAGTTAGTTACTAGTTTGTTAGTTATTAGTTTGTAACTTACTAGTTAGTCAGTTAGTTTGTTAGTTACTCAGTTGCTTAGTTTGTTAGTTACTTAGTTAGTTACTAGTTTGTTAGTCAGTTACTTAGTCAGTTGCCTAGTTTGTTAGTTATTTAGTTACTAGTTTGTTAGTTACTAGTTAGTCAGTTACTTAGTTACTTAGTTAGTTACTACAGTTACCACATCTATTGTCAGTGACTCCAAACGTTGACGTTTCCCTCCTGTATAATAATAATAATAATAATAACAATAATAATAATAATCCCCCCAGTCGTGGTTGTCCATCTGGACGACGGTGTCTGTCTGTTCTGTTCTGTTCTGTCTGTTCTGCCCGTTGTGTCCGTCGTGTCCGTCGGACCCCCCCCTGACCTGTCTCTGCCTTTGCAGCATTCTGGGGTCAATAGCTCGGACGCTCAGGTGCTGACCCTCTCCAACGTGACGGAGGAGGAGAGCGGGGAGTATATTTGTAAAGTGTCCAATTATATAGGAGAGGCCAATCAGTCGGCCTGGCTGACGGTCACCACCAACCAGCCCGCAGGTAACCACCACCACCAGCAGGGGGCCCAGGGACCACACTGGACTGGAAGGCACTTCATGGGGGGAAAGGAAGGGAAAAAAAAACAGAAAAAAAAAAAAAATTTAGGGCCTTAGGACGA